ACTTTCTAATTAAATCTCAACAACATTAAACAACATGTAGAACACAAGCTGAGAGCGTGATTTCAGAGCACGCAGTGACGACATGTAAGGTCAGGACAAGAACACGTAGCAAACAGTTTAAGGACAAACAAACAAACAAACAAACAAACAAACACACTTTGAGTGTGGTGAAAAACAAAGAACATTAAAAGAAAATGGGCGAAGGACACCATCAGAGCGCTCGCAGAACACGCACGCTTTCTGACAGCTTCTCTAGTGTCCAATTACAGCTGACGTCAGAGGTCGAGACGAAGTGTGTGTGTGTGTGTGTGTGTGTGTGTGTGTGTGTGTGTGTTCATTTGAGTTGAACAACATTTAAACCGATGATTGATTATAGGAGTGATCTGATAGTTACTGATTGTCATTATTTATCTCGTTCTGCTCTGATTGATATTTTTTTTTATGTGTTTGTGAAAAAACGTCAGTCAGTGAGGGTTAGGATGGAGGGTAAGGATGTAGGGTAAGGATGTAGGGTAAGGATGAAGGATGGAGGGTGATGATTGAGGGTGAGGATGGAGGAAGGAGGGTGAGGATGGAGGGTGAGGATGAAGGATGGAGGGTGAGGATGGAGGAAGGAGGGTGAGGATGGAGGGTGAGGATGAAGGATGGAGGGTGAGGATGGAGGAAGGAGGGTGAGGATGGAGGGTGAGGATGGAGGAAGGAGGGTGATGATTGAGGGTGAGGATGTAGTGAGGATGGAGGGTGAGGATGAAGGATGGAGGGTGATGATAGAGGGTGAGGATGGCAGATGGAGGGTGAGGATGGAGGATGGAGGATGGAGGATGGAGGGTGAGGATGGAGGATGGAGGGTGAGGATAGAGGGTGAGGATGGCAGATGGAGGGTGAGGATGGAGGATGGAGGGTGAGGATAGAGGGTGAGGATGGCAGATGGAGGGTGAGGATAGAGGGTGAGGATGGAGGGTGAGGATGGAGGATGGAGGGGGTAAGGATGTTGAGTGAGGATGGAGGGAGGGGATGGAGGATGGAGGGTAAGGATGTAGGGTAAGGATGTAGGATGGAGAGTGATGATTGAGGGTGAGGATGGAGGAAGGAGGGTGAGGATGGAGGGTGAGGATGAAGGATGGAGGGTGAGGATGGAGGATGGAGGGTGAGGATGGAGGAAGGAGGGTGATGATTGAGGGTGAGGATGGAGGGTGAGGATGAAGGATGGAGGGTGAGGATGGAGGGTGAGGATGGAGGATGGAGGGTGAGGATGTTGAGTGAGGATGGAGGGAGGGGATGGAGGATGGAGGGTGAGGATGTTGAGTGAGGATGGAGGGAGGGGATGGAGGATGGAGGGTGAGGATGGAGGGTGAGGATGGAGGGAGGAGGGTGAGGATGGAGGGTAAGGATGGAGGAAGGAGGGTGAGGATGGAGGATGGAGGGTGAGGATGGAGGATGGAGGGTGAGGATGGAGGGTGAGGATGGAGGAAGGAGGGTGAGGATGGAGGATGGAGGGTGAGGATGTTGAGTGAGGATGGAGGGAGGAGGGTGAGGATGGAGGATGGAGGGTGAGGATGGAGGATGGAGGGTGAGGA